TATTTGGATGACATTGGAAGATAGTTTGGTATAGTGTGGAGGAATTCAGCATTCCATAAATTATGCCATAATGATGTAGCCCTCCACAGCCTTGCTCCCCCCTACCTGAAAGCTTAGTTGAGGAAGGGCAGGTGGAGGCTCATGTGGAACATAAACACCAGCATAGACCAGTTGGGCCGAATGGCCTGTTTCTGTGCTGTATATTCTAATGTATTCTAATGTATGACTTTATGGGACATTGCTGTGCGCTATTGGCTGCAGCATTTCGACTACTTGTCTCATCGCCAGTTCTGGACACTTCAATGTACTGAATTGTTTGAGTTTGATCTTAGACTGTGAGCTCAAAGTCCCAATGTGGGACTTAAACCTGCAACCATCTAACCTAGTGGTGAGAACCCTACCACTTGAGCCAGATTGATACATAAACAGGAATAGAATGTTGAGACCGCTAAATAATTACATTTGATATAACACCTTTGAGACGTCTCAAGCACTTAATATAATTTTGCTGTTGTTGTTCACAGGATTTTACTGTAAAATGTAGTGACTATGTATTCCCTAGGTGAACGTAACAGCCAATTTGAATCTAGCAATGTTCAACAAACAACCCATTAAGCGAATGGCCAATTTTGGGGCAGTGTTGTTAGGACACCGGGAGGAAACTCCCTTCTCTTTTTGCATAGTGCCACAGATCTTTAATGCCCACCTTTAACAGGCACAAATGGGAACGTCCTCTCATTCAAGGAAAAATACCTCCAATACCCCCAGGACTCTATTGGAGTGTCAGCCTATATGAGTTCAAAATCCGGACACGGGGCTTGAATCCACAACCTTCTAACTCGGATGAAGGTACTACCACTGAGCTAAATAGCAATGGGAGCCAATTATTCTATCATCAGACCTGTTGCTCACTTCTGTTTGCTTTATACTGGCATCAATTTAGGATGCGGAAATGTAGTCATTTTGGAGTAAATGATTCAATTTCTGTTTGACTACAGAAAACCAAAATAGCTTGTCGGGTCTAAAATATTTTTTGTGCTGCAATGCCCTCTATTGTCAAACATTCAACACTGCAAGGCTACAACCATACACTTGACCATGTGCAGTAAGTTACGAACATTTTTCTTTCGGGATTTGGAATGTATGAGCAGATATAGTAGATGTCTGAGAACAGAAGTCTAGAGGGAGTGTTTTTCTACTCTTTATGTGCGAACAAATATGTCGATGGAACAGCTAATGACAGGCTGGTTAATCTGAACGCCGAAGCATCAATCCTCAGTCCTCTGCGGTGAAATACAATCATAACCAGTATTTAATGAAAATAGTCTAACATTTTGAAACATCTCACTTTGCAACGTAAAGAGACTTTTATTTCATTTAATTCCTGGAATTTGTTCAACTTTCAACAGCTCTGTGAAGGTGAGGGAAGAGCAAGATTTGCACCCAATGTCTGTTAGTGTCTAATGATAATGGGGGACTTCAATTATCCCAACATAGACTGGCAAAACAACAGCGCAAAGGGCAAGGAGGGGGAAAGATTCCTAAAGTGCATACAGGACAACTTTCTTGATCAGTACGTTTCCAGTCCAACAAGGAAGGAAGCAGTGCTGGATCTAGTTCTAGGGAATGAAGTAGGGCAAATGAAGCAGGTTTTAGTGGGAGAGCATCCAGGCAATAGTGATCACAATATCATTAGATTCAGAGTGCATATGAAAAAGGACAAGGAACCATCAAAGACGAAGATATCAACTGGAAGAGGGCAAATTTCAGTGAGTTAAAAAGGGACCTAGCCAAGGTGAATTGGAAAGAAAGGTTGGCAGGTAAAACAACTAAAGAGCAGTGGAAAGTCTTCAAGGATGAGATAGCTCGGGGACAGAACAAATACATTCCGACAAAAGGGAAAAGTAGGGCATCCAAACCTCTGGAATGTCCTCTCATTCAAGGGAAAATACCTCCAATAACCCCAGGATGACGAAGGTAATTGTGTCTAGAATGAAGCAAAAAAAGGAGGCATATGACAAATGTCAAACACAAGATACAAAAGACAAACAAATAGAGTATAGGAAGTACAGAAGAGAACTGAAAAAGGAAATAAGAGGGGCAAAAAAGAATATACAAAAAATGGTTAGCAGGTAACATTAAAGGGAATCCTAATTTTTTTTTACAAACATATCAAGAAAAAAAGGTTAGTCAAAGGTAGGGTGGGGCCAATTAAGGACCAAGGCGGAAATCTTATTGTGGAGGCAGAGGGCATGGCTGATGTACTGAATGAGTACTTTGCATCTGTCTTCACAAAAGAAGTGGATGCACCAAATGCCACGGAGGAGAGGGTAGAGGAAATGGATAGGATAAGTATAAACAGAGAGCAATTACGAAAAGGTTGACTGGGCTCAAGGTAGATAAGTCGCCCGGTCCGGCCGGGATGCGGCCCAGGGTACTATGGGAGGCACGGGTACAAATAGCGGAGGCTTTGGCTAAAATTTTTCAATCTTCGTTGGAAACAGGGGTGGTGCCAAAGGACTGGAGAGTGGCTAATGTTACTCCCCTGTGCAAAAATGGGCAGAAGGACAAACCTGGGAACTACAGGCCAGTCAGCCTAACATCAGTAGTGGGGAAACTCCTGGAGACTATAATCTGGGACAGAATACATCTTCACTTAGAAGAATATGGGTTAATTAGGGGCAGCCAGCACGGATTTGTTAAAGGCAAATCTTGTCTAACAAATCTAATAGAATTTTTCGATGAGGTAATGGAGAGGGTGGGTGAAGGTAGTGCAGTAGATATAGTTTATATGGACTTTCAAAAGGCATTTGACAAAGTGCCACATGAAAGACTTGTAAGAAAGATAGTATAAAAGGGAGAGTGGCAGCATGGATCCAGAACTGGCTGGGAGCCAGAAAGCAGAGAGTTGTGGTGAACGGCTGCTTTTCTGACTGGAGGGAAGTGTACAGTGGCGTCCCCCAGGGATTGGTATTGGGACCACTGCTCTTCTTAAGATATATAAATGGTCTGGACTTGGGTATAGCAAGTACCATTTCCAAGTTTGTGGACGACACAAAATTAGGTAGGATAGTAAACAGTGAGAAGGATAGCAGCCAACTGCAGGTAGATATAGACAGAATGGTAAAATGGGCGGACACATGGCAGATGAGTTTCAATGTGGAGAAATGTGAGGTAATGCATTTTGGAAGAAAGAATGAAGGGAGGCAATACAGGCTGGTAATACAATCTTAAGGGGGGTGAAGGAACAGAGAGACCTGGGGGTTCAGGTAAATGAATCCTTGAAGGTGGCAGGTAGATAAAGCTGGAAAAAGGGCATATGGGATACTAGGCTTTATAAATAGGGGCATAGAGTACAAGAGTCAAGAGGTTATGATTAACCTATATAAAACACTGGTTATGCCTCAGTGAGAATACTGCGCCCAGTTCTGGGCACCACACTATAGGAAGGATGTTAAGGCATTGGAAAGGGTGCAGAGGAGATTTACAAGGCTGGTACCAGGAATGAGGGACCTTGATTATGAGGAAAGGCTAGAGAGGCTGGGATTATTCTCATTGGAGCAGAGAAGGTTACGAGAAGACTTAATAGAGGTTTTCAAAATCATGAGGAGATTTGATAGATTAGAAAGGGAAAAACTGTTTCCACTGGTGGATGTGTTGGTGACTCAAGGTCACAGATTTAAAATAGTTTCTAAAAGAAGCAGAGGGGAGGTGAGAAGAAATATTTTCATACAGCGAGTTGTTCGAATCTGGAATGCATTGCCTGAAAGGGTGGTGGAGGCCGATTCGATAACAACTTTTAAAAACGCAGTGGATGGGTATTTGAGGAGGACGAGTTTGCAGGGTTATGGGAAAGGGCTGGGGAGTGGGATTGACATGGCATTGCTCTTTTCAAAGAGCCGGCACAGACTCGATGGGCCGAATGGCCTCTTTTTGTGCTGTAAGATTCTATGATTCTATTATGTCAAACCCTACAAACTTGCATCTTCTCATCACAGCATCTGCTGTTTTCTAAATGAATGCAGCATCCTGGCTTCAACCACCCCTTCCGGTAACCTACTCGTCGTAAATTACCCTCTGAGTAAAGGAGTGTTTCCTCGTGTCTGTCTGAAATTGCCATCTGCATTTGCAAACCTAAAAATATTGTTTTTAGGTTTGCAAATGCTCCTCCTCCTCTCGCCTCCTCCATTCGCCTTACTCGGGGTTGTTGTGCAATTCCCACCCTCTCCATCATCAAAAAAAAGAAATTCTTGCATTTGATCTCTCGCGATTTACCGCGTCTCCGAGACGTCTCAAAGCGCTTCGCAGGATAGACCAGAGTGAATACACCGCGTATTTTGTGGGTGAAAAGCGGCAGCAGCCGATTGCGCACAGCAGCGTTCCAGACAGAGTCGTGGACTGAGCGACCAATTTATTCTTTTTTTTGGAAGGAACCGTTTACCCCCCTCCCCCCCACCCACCCACCCCCCCCCCCCGGACAAGCGATCCTCCAATCGACTAACAACCGGGTTCCCACTTACTGCTACGCTCGGTCAACAGAGGCGTGCGGAGCAAGGAGACGCGCCCAACCTTTTGCCCTGCCGGGAATGGAACCCGGGTCCTCTCGCTCGCCAGGCGAGTGCCCCGAGGACCGCCGAGCGAGCCACGGGACTCAGGCCCTACGCCCGTAACCCGTGGAAGGCCCGGCCCCCCGCCCCCCCGCCCTCACACCCGGCCCTCTCTCCTTGCGTCCCAGTCCCCTGTCCCCTCCTCCAATCCTGGCACCTCGCTTCCTCCCGACCCTACTCTGCAACCCAATGGTCAAGGCTGTGGGGAGGACACACGGTCGCATTGGGTTCAGTGCTAACACCTGGTGCCTGCAGGTGGCGCTGTGGGAGTGTAAGGGGGTGGCGGCGGGTGGGGGGGGGGAGGGAGGGAGGGAGCGGGGAGGGGGAAGAGAGTGTGCGCGCGCGTGTGTATTTGATGCGCCTGCGCGGGAGGGAGGTGGGGGGGGAGGAGTGGGCGGCGCGCGGCGGCGGCGGCGGCGCGGAGCATGCTGGTCTCGCGCGGAGCATGCTGGGTCTCGCCCGGCTGCTCGATCAGGACAGAGAGGGGACGCCGGTTAGTCGGTTGGTCGCTCGCGCGCTCTCTCCTCTGTCTCTCTCTGTCTCTCTCTCTCTCCGACGACGACGACGACTTCTGTGAGGATATTGACCGTTATTTGTTCGACCATCAATTCCCTCCTGAAAGAAGCGCCCACCGGACTCTCGTGTTCAGGAGGGAGGGAGGGAGGGAGGGTGGGTCGGTCGTCTCTCTCGCTCTCCGCCAACCGCCCACTCACCTCACCCCACCCCACCCGGCGCACTATTTGGCAGCGAGGTGACGTTGCGTCAAGGCCCGGTCCGGCCCCGCCCGCCCGCCCGCCCTCCGCCCCTCTCTCCTACCCCGGCGCAGTATCTGGCGGCGGCGGCGGGCGGGCGCCTCAAACTGCACCCCACCCCCTCCCTCCCTCCCTCCCTCCTCCTCCCCCACTCCCCCACTCCTCCTCCCCCACCCCCCCACTCCTCCTCCCCCACCCCCCCCCCCCACTCCTCCTCCCCCACCCCCCCCACTCCTCCTCCCCCACCCCCCCACTCCTCCTCCCCACCCCCCCCACTCCTCCTCCCCACCCTCCCCCCCCCCCTCTCCTCCCCCCCCCCCCCCCACCCAGAGCGGGAACCGCCCTCTTGACTTCTCTTTGCCGGTGTTTTATTTGGAAAGGAAAATAATAATAATCATTAATAATAATGGTAATAATAATCCTTGCGTTTGATGTAGCGCCTCATTCACGTCTTCCGTCTAGACCCCAGTCTCAGCAGCGCTTCGCAGGACGGGCAGAAATAGGGGACGGCCGCCGTTTCGCCGGTAGTTCCTCGGCTCCTTGAAAGGACTCGACAGGATTTTAAAGGGATGTTTTTTTTTTTGGGGGGGGGGGGGAGGGAGGGCAAGCGGGTACTCTGACCTCCAGGGTCGGCAGGTTGTGAGTTCAGTCAAGAACCCCCCACCCGCACAGCCACCCGCACCCCCACTCGTTTGCGGCTTTCCATCTCTATCGTCCTCTCCCTCGCCTGACCCACACAGGCCACAGGGTAGCGCGTGGCGTGCCGCGTTGTCGGAGGCGCCATCCCTCGGGTGGGATGCTGAACGGAGAGCCCGTCCCCTGCCAGTTCGGGCGGGCGTTAGACGTTAGAGATCCCGTGGCACTCCCCGGAGTCCCGTCGCTCATTGGTTAGAGCACTCGCCTCGGAAGCGAGAGACTTGGGTTCGACTCCCGGGCAGGTCAGGGCGAAACGTTGGGCAAGTTTCCTTACTCCACACGTCTCTGTTTACCTCGTCAGTAAGTAGGAACCTGGTTTTCGGACGATTGGCGGATCGCTTTTCCGGAGGGGCAATAATTCGTTCAAAAAAAAAAAAAAAATCAATTGGTCACACGATTGTTCTTGGGACACTGCTGTGCGCAATTGGCTGCCGTGTTTTGAGACATCTCAAAGATGCTATATCAAATGCAAGGATTATTATTATTCGAAAAAAGAAGGGAGTTTCTCCTGGTGTCCTGGCTAACAACCCCCTCAACCCCGAGGTAAAATTGGTGCTGCTTCATAGCAGCTGAAGGTCCTATGAGAGAGCCACAGAGCAGCCACTGGTGTAAAGAGAAGAAAGAGAGAAAGAACACCTTGTCAATTTATTTTGTGGGACTGCCATAAGTAGGCAGGTGCACTGTAAACGCAAAAACATACTTAACATTTTTTTTCACTTTAATACTTATGAACCATAGCACCTGTCAAATGCTCCTTTATTATCCCTTAGGTTCTGAAATAGATTATTCACCATGGCATCCCGTGCTGGTCCCAGGGCAACAGGAACTGATGGCAGTGACTTCCAGCACAGAGAGAGGGTAGCTTCACATTATCAAATGAGGTAAGTTTTATTGATTTTGTTTTAACGTATCTAACCAGATTAGCCCTCAAAAACATGCCTCATGTTTGGATTGAAGACCTAAGAAAATAAAACAATTGTAGTTAGTTTTCCGTATCAAATACATACTTAGTATTACCCAAAGGTTTCTTTTGACCATTTGGGATTTAAGAACCGAATTTCTAAACCATGCCCAGAGTTAGTACAATGACAGAGATAGTCAAAATCTACTTTTGGAACATAACTATTTCTCCATTCAATCAGGTAATCAATCCAATTTCAAGTACAAATAACATATAGGTGGATTAATACATAGCTTTATTGAGATGTTTCTGTTATACTTGTTTATGTTACCTTTCCCAATCTATGAATATAAGGCCTGGTGTATACTGTAACCTTAATGTGTTGCCTCCTGTTCTCAGGCACTGTTCCCTGGAAATGTTTCCCTTTTATTAGCTTTATTAAAGCTTCAATGGTGTAACTTGGTATAGTCCAAAATATTTATTTTAGTTAATATGTTTGCTTCAGCATGTGAGGTTTTCCACATGTCATAATAGTAGTGTTACATCAGACTGGTATTCCTGGTTGACTTCCTCTTCGTAAAGGCAAATTTCTTGAATATCACAGATTTCTTTCCAGACACTAACATATGCATGACGTCTATCTTTGTGTCTACCTATCTGACATGATTTAGAAACCTTGAGCCCCACCTTCTAAAATAGCCCAGTGCCATCCCAAATCATTTTCTCTTTTTGCTTGGAAAGTTATGGAGAAGTTATTGTTGTTTACAACTTCTTCCAGCCAGTCTAGAAATGAAAAACAGTGCAACCCATCCCCAGAGTTCACTGAAGTGTCATTCTTGAAACTGAATTTGGTAATACTTAATAGCACAGATATTGGCATGTACTGATACACTGCAAAATCAATTTATATATTGATTCTGGATGAGATTGAGGTGCTGATTGTACGTCCAAAGTCCTCACTCCTGCTGAGAAACCCATAGTTGACCCAGTTTCTCTTACAAAAAACAAGTTAACAGTCAATCAAGGAATACTCTTTGCACCATATTTAATGGTTTCTCAATACAGTGTCTTCTGCAGTTACTGCCTTATCTCAGCATTTTGAGAATATCTATAACATTGATATTAGGAATATTAGGATCTTCTCTGGCAACTGTACCTCTAGTAATCTAAAGTCTCGATAGGGGAAATTGCAACTACTTCTCGTGCAGTTAAATTTTCAATTAGGTATGGATTCTATCTTACCTACAGTAAGACTACACATTCAAAGTTCCCTCTTTTGTGACATGTTACGGCTTCAGGAGGTACCTCTTTGACCATGTTTTCCCTCCCCAGGCCCATTTAGCTTCCACCCCAGCACAGATGCCCAGACAGCAGTGTTAAAAGCTTTGAGATGTCCTTCCAACATGAAAGACACTATTACAAATGTAAATTGTATTGAAAACTATAAGAAAGCTTTTTTTTGTGCATGCTCATATTTAAAACTCAGGTATTTCTGCTGCATTTGCAATCAAAAACTGAGAATGCAACCCAAATTAAGGCCTTATATATGTAGATAATGGGAAACAACTAAGCTTTTAAAGGAGTATCACAACGGTGGGTTTTCCGTGTAAGGCAGCAATTTGCTTTTTGTGTATGCACTTGAACAGAGATTGCGTTAAGGTTTTTAAAAATGTGTATCGTATACATATGGGTAAGTGAAAAATGCATAAATGCTAAATAATCATGCAGACACAGTGAATCAATGCGGACCAATCAACTGGTACGTTTTGTTTTAGTCCAACCCCCAAGATCTGTCGAACAAGATATCTTGCTACATTTTCCCAACCATTTCATCAATCGGTTTTCTGATGTATCTGACTCCGGTCAGATAACACAACTTCAACTGATGGTGATTGTATCATTTGAAGTGTAAAAATGCCTGTCATTACTGAATCATGGATTGTAAAATAAATGTACACGGTGAGCTGATTTTTGCATACAGGCAGAATTTTTTGCGTAATACACATAATTTTGTGTTAAAGGGATCAGTATCGACCTATTATAGATAATAAGGAAGGCTACACCATGGTCGGGGTTGTTTTCCCTGATGGCATCCTTATCGCATATTTTTCACAGCCATTGTATTCACTGGGTTAAGACGTAATACTGCATCCTACCATTGCAACCTGCTGTGCTACAGGCCATTATTAAAATTTTATGTGAATTTTTAAAAATGTTTTCATGTACTATTTTTCTGTCAGTTGTAATAGATCTTGCTATTATTTTCCTCCCAACAAGAAGCTGTGCCCGGGATTCCAATAATGTTGCTGTAAGATAGCTACCAAAAGATCTGTGGCCTGAAATTCCACTTAGCCTTTAATGGATTTTAAAACCATTTTATCTGAAATTCAAGATCACACAGTATGGCGGAAGATTCTTTCTGTTGTAATTTTGAAGCATGATCTTAAACGTTGAAATAAAAGGGTCTGACAAATAAGAGTTGGTGGAATTTCAGGTGACTTTTTTAAAAAAAGATGAATTTATGGAATGCCATTTGGAAGGAAATCATTTTGGGAACAAGACTGATTCAGTGTTTCTTTGGGACAGTGCCAATATACTATTTACTCTGTTGGGAAGTGCACTATCGATTTAGAGGTGTTAATTAGAATGTGCCTTTCTAAAGTCAGATTAGTTTTTGCAATCCAAAATATTTTAAGTTCAGTCGAGATAAAACAGTCTAGAACGTTGCCTTATTTGTTCTTATTTGTGCTTTCAATTCTAGCGTAGCTCTGAAGATGAAGATCAAGAAGTTGATAATTGCTCACCTGGTAATCTGGACTCTACTCGTTCTTCAAGTCTTTGTCAGCCATATGAAGATCGTGTCTCATGACCTAGTAGCTCTGCCGTACCAATGGGAATACCCGTACATTCTCAGCATCATACCATCATTCTTTGGTTTCATCTCTTTCCCTCGTAACAACATTAGCTATTTGGTTATTTCCATGATCAGTATAGGTCTCTTCTCCATTGCCCCTCTTATTTATGGCAGTATGGAGATGTTCCCTGTGGCACAGCAGCTCTACAGGCATGGTAAAGCCTTCCGCTTCATCTTTGGCTATTCTGCAGTGGCTGTCATGTACTCCGTCCTGGCCATTGCAGTGCAATTGCATAGCTGGCAAATCTACTACAGCAAGAAATTGCTAGACTCGTGGTTTACTTCCACCCAGGAAAAAAAGAAGAAATAGTTAATTGGAGAAAGAAGCTGTTGGAAACTGAATGAAAAGCCACAAAGTTGGTTTATGAACAATGATGAATTTGGTGTAATGGGACTGCATCAGTCCAATAAATATAAGATTTTAGGGCTTTAACGCTGCAGTACCTCTTGTTATCTTATGTAAGCTGTTGTTTTAATTTACACTTGGGCTTTTACTTCTACACCAAAAGAAATTGTGTTTGGGAAATTGACACTCCCCAATTTCATCAAGGATATCTGACTGATGTTACTAGCTGTAGATGTCATTTTATAACTGTTAAGAATAATATTATCTATTGTCATTGTAATTCTGCAATTCCAGTGAATGTAGAAACATTGCCAGATACTGAGCTTTTTTGCTCAATTCAAAACATGTCATAGTTATACTTCCTATTTGCTTGTTATACAGTAGTTACCATGATTATCAGAGCCTGACTTTCAAAAAGGATAAATGGGTGTCTTGATTATTGTTTAAATATTTTTAAAAGATTGTGATATCCCAAAGCTATGTAATATGGCTAAACCCTGTGTAATTGCCAGATTGAAGTATCAAATAGTGGCAGGACAAAGTTCCTTTCACATGTCACCCAAGCTTCCAGCAAACCATACATGAATCTATCAGAATCAGATGGGATATCCAGTACCATTAGATTCACCAAATCCTTGTAGTGCATGTCAAACACAGGTTTTTTTTTAAAAAAACTTGTCCTCACTTAATTGAGTATTTTGCTTGAAATGTTTTGCCCAACATAGTTGAGAGCAGTTAAGCTAGTCATGTACTACCACAATTTCTTAGTCATGGAGTACTGTCTAATGTTTTTTCTAACTGCTCCCTAAATCTATTGATATTCCGTCCCTATATGAAGCTTTGAAGTTCATTACAGAACATGCTTGTACTTAGGAAGTAGTTCCTGTTTATTGAAAGGATCTGTTACTGTTTATAATGTCTTGTGTAATGTTTGTGTAAATTATATTTTGTGTTGCATAGTCTTGACTTAAGGAATTTGTGCATTATACACCCTATGTTTTTAAGAAATTCCCTGGAATAACACTACTTTATATGCCAGTGCAGTATAAAGCTGCTTTCCACACATTCACGTTGGTGTAACAAAAGTTAGCGAGACACAATTTAACAATGTGTGAGTTTCTTGAACATTTGCCTCTGAAAATATTGCATATGGTGATGCATTGTCCTTTGGGTTCTGTGAGCTGCATAAAATATAAGGATTATTACTGATAGCTTTCATGCCACCCATGCTTTTGATTTAGGGAATGTTCGAAAATAAATGAGTTTTTTCCAGTGTTCTAGCGAACAGTTTCCCAGGTAAAGTTGACCATTTACTTCATGGCTGTGTGTGAGTCTTTGCTGTTTGCAAATTGGCTGCAAAGTTTCAGTAAATTTGTGAAACAAACTGTTTGAGACATACTCCTAATGTGAAAGACACTATCTCAAATGCAAGGATTATTATTACTGTATAATCATATCAAAGTGGCATTGAATCCATGGGACAGGTGGGAAATATTCTTTGTTTCATTCTAGTTCAATGTTAAGGATTTAGTACCTTGTTTATGCTTGGACACGAAGCAGGAGGCTAGGATTAAGCATAGATAGGAACTTCCTCTTGTAATTAAATTAACGTTGGTACCATAAAAAAACTTGAGAATGGAAATTTGTAGGAGGAATGTGGTAGTCACTTGTTTTTTTGAAAATGATCACTCTGACTATCCAATTAGATTTGCACTGAGTAATTTTTATACTGCAGTGTTGTGAATAATACTCTTAAAAAATCACTTCAAGTTAGTCGTAACAGCATGTGCTTTCAGATTCTGCAGCTCAATTCTGTGTTCCAATTTTCATGGTGCAAAGGAACATAAATCTTACATTGACATGGTTTGAATTGAATTACATTTTTGATGCCTTATTTGCAAATCCAAACCAAATGGCTTTTACAATTGTTTTCCTGTTTCAACTTCTGTTATCAAATGAAATGTTTCTTCATACTGCTTTCATAACATTAGAAAATTAATGTATTGTGGCTTTTGGTGTAAATCACAGCTTGTGCATGAGCCATATATTATAAAAAAGTTGTGCCTTGTGAATAAAGTTGCTACGCAAAAAACTATGTAGAAACTGTCAACTGCTTGTTCAAAGGAACCGACTTTTAATTGGTTGTAACTTGTTTGGGAGAATGATGGATTTCGCAATAGTGCGATTACTTATGAGTACTCATGGATGCAATAGTACAGTTATTATAAATCATTATTACAAGCTTTTCCTCCCTCACCTCCCGTGGACGTGGCTAAAACTGAGGTCAAGAGGTTAAGATGCGCCAAAAAAAATTAAGCTGCCAATCCAAATAATATTCATTAAAATTCTTTTGGTTTCCGTTGGGTAGCAAAATACTGTGTTTTGTTACTTAGAATCATAGAATCTTACAGCACAGAAAGAGGCCATTCGGACTGATGTGCCTGTGCCAGCTCTTTGAAAGACTTATCCCACTAGTCCCGCTCTTACCCCATAGCTCTGCATTTTTTTTCATTTTCAAGTAACTATCCAATTCCCTTTTGAAAGCTGCTATCGAATCTGCTTCCACCACCCATTCAGGCAGTGCTTCCCAGACCGTACTTCCGTTCTAGAATCAAATTTCAAGCTACAACCCTGGAAATTTGTCTTTGAAGTTTGATCTGAAAGGGATGAGATTCTCCAAACACAAACTTGTTAATTGATCCCTAGCCTTTTGTAACCTGTGGACATCTGCCAAGAATTCAGTGTTTTGTTACTTTCCTTGGGTTTACAACCTGTGACTTCCTATAAATTGTCACCGGCTTTCTGTGCTGAACAGGAACAGTGTATTCTTTATTTGCTCCAACTAGCAACTGATAAAAAAAAATGGTCACTTATCATAATTGCGGACTTCTTTTGAAATTTGCTTCTTGAAATTAAAAACGTTTCCCCAGAAGACTGGAGAGCTCAGCTTGTTTACCCTGGAAATGGGAGTTTGAATGCAGCATAGGATCGTCCAACTGGCTCTCAAGTCCTTTATCACAAATATGTGTGTTTTTTGGCAAGATGATCCAATTTTTAGTGGATGTTCCAGAAAACTGGCATTTTCTTTTAAGGAAGGCAAAAGGGTGGCTGATCCAGGATGTGAGGGATCCAAAGGAGAGATCGAGTGGAGCAGGGAAATCCTTTTCTTCGGTTGGCATCACTGACCCAGAGCAGAAGAAACTATCTGCTGTGTTGTTGGATTGGAAATACTTGAGATTAACACTTGTGCCCCAAAATATAGAGTTAATTATCCCTACACCTGTCTCATCTCAGATTTATTAAAATGAGCTATACTCGCTGCTTTGATGTATTTGCTGTCTGCGTCATGAGTTGCATCCAAGCAACTTAGAATGGCGTAACTGGATTGCAGAAATGTACATTGGATCGCAGAATCCGGTGCATCAATGCTGAATCTCTTTCAATGATATTGGAACAGTGTTTCTAAGTTCATAGATCCCTAGTTTAATTTCACATCTTTCATCATTCAGAGCTGACTTTGCGTTTGCTTTTCAAAAGTACAGAACTGAGTTCTAACGAAAATGTTCTCTTAAACGTAGAGAGCCTCAACCTTATGATGACACATGCAACACAAATTTAAACTGAATTATTCTTTGCTAATCATTTACACAATGAATTGTGCTGTCGTGATTGCGGATGCGATTCCAGCTTGTGCACTTTTTTAATGTCTTGTATGCTAACATAGAAATAATATAAAGATTTTTATATTATTTGGTGAATCTGGATAATTTAATGTCTTCATGTACAATAGATTGGAATGTATTCTAGATTGGATTGTACACTTAGTTTGGAATGCACACTTTGTCGCCACAGTCAATGAGAGTAAATGTATGAATGCACAGTACCTTACACTTGTTTCTTCGATTTGACTGTGTTATAAATGCAAAAATAAAAGTTCCAATGTGAAATTGAGGATGAACAACTTTGGAATTGGATAGAGCAACATTTAGTATGAGAGAGTCCTGTAGCTCAGTGGTTGGAGCACTCGCTTTGCAAGTGAGAGACCTGAGTTCAATTCCAGGCAGAGGGCGAAACCTTGGGCAAGTTTCCTTACTCCACACAGAGCCTAATAATAATCCCTCCAAAACAAAAACAATAATAAATTGGTCATTTTCAATCTACGACTGTTTGTGGGACATTGCTGTGCGCAATTGGCTGCTGCGTTCGCCCACAAATATACAGTCAATTCACTTTACAGTGTGTTCTGTGAAGCGCTTTGGGACGTCCTCCCGACGTGAAAAGCGCTATATCAAATGCAAGGATTATTATTATTATTATTTAAGAACTCTATGCTTTTATCTAACAGCATTCGAATTGCCCAGTTGGAGTCCGATCTGAATTTACAAACATTACTGGATTTCACACCTCTCTCTCCCCCATATTGCTTCAAACTTTTTTTTAAAAAATTCCATTTATTTTCCAGTTCTCAGTAAATCCTCAAACTCTTACTCCAAAGATTATTCTACTGTTGCGTGTGCACTAGATTGATATTTGATTTTAGTACTATTTAAGGCTACACACTTATTTCTATATAAATATATATATATAAAACACAGAGTAGCGCTCTACAAAATTAACAGCAGGAAAGGTTTACATGATGCTGACCAGAGATTTTATTTCTTTCAGGACACATCATGAATGTTTAGCCAAAGGGAGTTCACACTGAGCATTCCAATATCTGAAAGTTAAAGACACTGAACTTCACGTTGGAAGAAAAGTAGACAACTGAAGCCATGGGAATAGCCATAGGGGATAATCATAGAAGTGCACAAGATTGACCTGCGGAAGGGGGGAAGTAGAGCTGGAGGTAAATAGCCAGTTTCTCCCGAGTGGCTACTTCTGGACACTTTATTCAACGTTGCGGAATAGAATGAGTTGACTTCGCGAATTCCCCACACAACCTTGCCACGTGTTTAAACAAGTCTAATCGTAAATAATCCCGGTTTAAAATCACCGTAAATAGATTCTGCTGACTTAGGGGAAAGGTTTCTTGTTAGTTAATCAACCTTAATCAACAGGACGCTCCCATGCAACTGACACATTCACACTGAGAAAGCGTGAGTGGGGAAATAATTTGTTGATCAATCAATCGTAGAAACCAAGGTTAATATCTCACTGTGTATTAGAGATGACTCTCCAGAGGTCGGTGGTCAGGCTTGATCCACTCTCTTTGGTCTCTGTCTATCACCAATAAGACCGTATTAATACTTGTCCTAAAGTACTTTACTCTGGTGTACATGTTATTATCAAGGCACAATGTGTGCTTTGTGGTGTGAGATTCCAGCCAATTTTTGTTTAGATTAAACAGATGAAAACCTCCCAGGAACCAGGGGTTGGTGGTGGTGGGAGGGGAAGAGAATGAAACAGTTAATATATAACAGGACATACCAGAAAGAGCTTGTATTGCACTGAAATCATCTGACCATTAGAACAAGAACAGCGGGGGCACAAGGATCGAGATGATTCACCTAAAGCGCGACCGCAAAGTGCTAGTTGGAGTTGTATCTAGCCTTGTTACAGCAGTTATTTGGAGTGCCTGCTTTTGGCATTTCGTAACCGAATTTAAATCAGGTAAGAACTGCAGCTAATAATTGCAAGTAAAGGGGTGGTTGAGCTCTGTGCTGTTGTATCTGCTGCTGTATCACGGGCTTCAATGTCACGGTGGATGTTTGCCTACAGGTTATACGCAGTCTCCACACCTTACAGTGTGTCTCCTTGTGAAGTGCGTTGAGAAGTACTTTGAAAGGCACTATATCAAATGCAAAAAACAATAATTATTATTGTTATTTTTAAAATTGTATTGCTGTGTGCACAGGTGATCTTGGGATCTTTCCTTTGCATTTCTAAAAATATTATAAGATACCCAGCCAGACATAAGCCGAATTTCATACCCAGCTCTGTCTTGAATACTCATGGAACAGGTATTTTGATAGTTGCTCCAAACTGTTTTTGGATACACTATTTCAGTTTTTCTAGGTGGGTAACGATCCTTTATGAATTGTGTGGACATCCACACTGCTACAAATAGTCCAGTGGTACCCAGCTTGTCTCTACATTGCATTACTTGGATGCCTACTACTACTAATAATAATAATTGCATTTGATGTAGCGCCTTATCACGTCTTCGAGACGTCTCAAAGCGCTTCACAGAATAAACTGTTAAGTGAATTAACTGCATAGTTTGTGGGCGAAATTTCTCCTTACACTACTCTTCACTACAACAACACTTGCATTTCTATACGTCCTTCATGTGGGGCAGCTTAACGGTGGCGGAGCCTGACGCCAAGCCAGGCGGAGGGAGGAGTGACCTTAAACACGATCGAAGAGGAAGGTCTGACAGCATTACCTTCCAAGGATGCACACTCCACCTTACTAAGCCAGTCTGGAACCTTGGTGTCTATGTTTGACCATCAACTATCCTTTCTACCCCACATCCA